TTTTTTTTATTAGAAATAACAATAAAATTAACTATTTAAGTTAATTATTTAGGATTGTGGCAAGTGAATCTTTTATTCCGATAGTAATTCAAGACATCTTGCAATTTGATTTTAGACTTCAAGCCACAAGCTGATTGTTTATTATCTACATCCATGAAGTCACTGAATATTTTCTACTACTTGTGAAGAGTACAGTTTCTTCACAGGCATTTTTATTTGCCATGATTACCCTTTCAAACAAGACAAACCTTGTTCGCGTGGATGCAAGGAATGAAATAACTTTTTTGCTAGCCCTCTTGTAATCGCTTCCTTTTCTGCCCCATTTTCTTGTACTTTTATCAGCTGGATCTAGGGCTCGCCAGTTGGCTCAGTTGGCTAGAGCGTGGTGCTGCTGACCTGATCCTGTTGCTCCTGTTTGTTTGTCCCTCAGTGCTCTCTCACAAACACAGCTCCTTCGCTGTCCCCCAAATGTGCTGTTATCGTGCCTTTTCTGTGCTATTTCTTTTGCCCATCATGCTCTCTCTGTCCTTTTTTTAAAATTCAAATTTTGCCTATTTTTTAAGACTCAGATTAAGGCTGTGCAGCTTCCTCAGCTGACTCCTCCTCTGTTTTATCCCGACTGGCCCAGGGCTCTTAGCCAACACCCAAAACCAAAGCATCTCATTGTACTCTGACTTATGTTAACTGTCTCTGCTTTTTCTTTTACTTGTTATCATATGTATTTTTTTAGTTTTTAAAAATAGCTTTATTGAAGTGTAAATACCATATAAGTCATCCATTTATAAGTGTATAATTCAATGGATTTTAGGAATTGTATAGGAGATGTGCAGCCATTATCATAGATCAGTTTTAGAACATCTTGATCACTTCCAGAAGTCCCCCTGGGCTCATCAGCAGTGTCTTTACTCTCATAACCAGCCTCAGGCAACTACTGATGTGTTTTCTATCTCTACAGATTTTCTTTTCTGGACATTTCATATAAATGAAGTCATACAACGGGTAGTATTTTGTGTCTTGCTCTTTCACTTAGCATAATGTTTTCCAGAGTTGTGCAGTTGTGGTATTTATCAGTAGTTGATCTCTCCTTATCTCGTGGAATATATTCCATTACATGGATATATCTTTTTTTTTTTT